GTGTGCTGCCGCCGCCGTGCTCGCCGCGGTGGGATCGGGAGCGCTACCGCGGCAGGAATCGCTCTAGGGGCGATGGGACCCGCTCAGGGTCAGCGATGCCCGTAACCACATTCTTGGAAATCAGCATGGCGTGGCACGCATTTTCTTCCTGACTCGAAACAGTATCAGTGCTCGTCTCGCTCCTGGGAATAACAGGGGACCGCATTGTGGGCTCGGACTCTGTGCTTCGCACTCTAATTTAGGATGGCTTAATTTAGAATAAACATTTCTTTGTGACTTACTACCCATTACACAGTTATCCTCGATTTTCTTAAATAGCCAGTCTGTGATGGTTAAATCTGGAGACATCGCTGTATCCTTCCAGTACTGACAGTGCATCTCTCGAGCCTGTGACACGCAGAGCGAGCAGGCCTTGGGGCTCTGGAGACTTCAGTGGTCTCTTGTCACTAGTGCACGGACTTAAGTGCCCTGTGCAGTATTCTGAAGTAATAAGCAAAAAAGTTATTATGCTTGATCTAAAGATAACAGTGCCTCATTATATATTAATAAACTGGATAGAAAAGGCTCTGGGGGTAAGGTGTGTGGTCATTTTGGGAATACTTGAGTCTTTGTTATACTGGAATGACAGCTGAAATGCATTTGTGAATTGCATTTATAATCTAGTTAAACTGCTCAATTTACCTTTATTACTTTATACACAAACCTAGTTTTCTTTACCTATATGGGATAATTTTCTATTTTTTTTTTTTATAGAAACCTATCTTTTGAGGAGGGGGCGGAATATGTCCTTGGTGAAGCCCTTTGTCATCCTTTTCGGTATAGGAATTATTTCAGAGGAAAACAGTTCCACCTCTCTGCAGTGGAAAACAGAATTAAAAGTTATCACACTGTGTCTAACACTATGGTTATGACTCTGAGTCAGTTATAAAGGAATTTTTATTTCCTGAATGTAAGCTGTCTGTATTCACATTAAATTTTTCAGAAGGGTGAAGTACCATACCTTACACATGCATCTGAAATCTGACAAACAGAGGCAAGGCAATTGTCTTGCTATTTAATTATTAGTTTTCTACTGGCGATTTACAGGTTCCTCCCATTTGCTATGCAGGACTGTGAAATGGTAGCCCAAATTTTAAGTGAGCCTAAACTCCTTGATGAACTGTGGTTCTTTGAATGTATTTCAAACTAGCTGACTGTTACAATCTAAATGCATCTTTTGTCTGCTGTTCAGTCGATTTGCCTGGAGTATACCCATAGAATTCGTTTTATTTGCAGTCATCTATGATTTGAGCAATTACTAAGTGATCATAGTCTTAAATTCTGTGCAACAGAATGGTCTATTTCTGGCTGGCAGAATGCGTAGAAAAGTATCTGGAAGTTAAGAACATAATTAATTTATTTAATAACTATAAAGAATATAATTCCTGTAATTGAAAAATCTTAGGCCCATATCTGAGCATGATTTGGCCTGTGACTCAGGAATCCTGAACTGCACTATGAAGGTTTGATGCATAGTAAATAAGATCTAATTATTTATTAAATTAGTAGATTTAAACTAATCTCCTCATGAGGCTGTTTCTGCTAGGTGTGAGTTACTCAGCATTCATCTAGTTGCACAGACAGAAGTACTTAAGGGATGGGATGATATGAGAACTAGAGAACCAGAAAGTTTTAGTTGTGTGTTGTTTTGGGTTTTTTTTAAGCATATGGAGTTCCAGAAAGTATATTAACAGCTCTTAAGTTTTTAAAGTCCAGTTGGAAGTCTGAAATGCTTAAATATTAAAAGAGGTAGCTCTATCTCAGGTACTTACATTAAATAGAAAGTCAAAGGAGAAAAAGGAAATTACATCACCTTGTCAAATAAGGAACAGCTAGCTGGAATGGATGACTTGTAGTGCAAAAATGTGCCCCTCCTCCTGTGAATTGCTTCTGAGATTTGTTAAAGATAGTGTGGTGGCAAGGTGAGCAAAAATAGGTTGTGGATTTAAGGTAGACACATTTCTTCACCTCCCGAAAGGGGTAAGCAGGTCTTACTTTTTTTTTTTCTTTCCTTCTTTTCTATTCCTTACAAGATACATCTCAGCTTCTCTTCAAGAGTGTTGCTTTTATAAAATCTGTTCAAAATTTGTACAGGCATTCAGAAATCTGTACAGCAAATTGCTGTATTCCATCCCCAGTTTGTGAAACATTTTAGAGTGTGCTTTGGTCTACTGTGCATACCGGGAAGGTTTTCTTTGTTGTGAACTTGACTTGCCTCAAATATTTGGTTGCATTTAGACTGGGAGAGCAGGGAACAGAGAAACAATCTGTGTGTGATCACTGATAGATGTTGAGCTCAAATATATGCAAATGCTTCTTAGTTTCTAAGTAGAGGATTACTGTTGTTATAACAGAAGTGTTTATTGATATGTATCCATATGAAAACTGCATATTTGGAATGTTTTCTGTAACTCGCCACGAAAATTTTTCCACATATTCCCATGTACATTGTAGATATCCCTATGTAGATACCCTATGTTTATGGATACATTTGGCCATTTTCAGCTTACACATAGCCATCCTGTTATTCATCACTCACCAGTTCAAGTTTGAAAGTATATTTGGCCTTGTAAAAAAAAAAATTGATCTCCAATACTTAGTATAATTCATATTTGTTAATACAAACAGACCTAAACAATCTAAAAGTGTCTCCTTTGCCCTGTTGCCTTACAGTGAATGGTGCTGGTAGCTTCCTAATGCATCAGCAAATCTTTGAATTGCCTTGGCTTGTATCTGCCTTGTAGAAATTACTAGTCATAGTTTTAGTGTGAACTCCATTTCTTCAAAAGTGCTTCAACCTTCCTAAGTGCCATAATCGACGCATAACTAGGCCAGACAAGCAGAGTAACTAGAAACCCATTCTGTGCAAATGAGTAGCACATGAGTGTGAGATCAGGGAGACTTCATGACTGCATAGCGTCCATTTCCTTTAGCAAATACAATTTGATGTTATTTATGGTTAAGTTTAGATCCTTAAATTTTTAAGGAGGCAGGATTGGGACAGCAGTTACACTGAGAACTGTTGATGTTTATATCTTCATGACTGACTTTTGTAAATTTTACTGGTTTTTAAAGCCAATGACTAGAATATAATGCATACTACTTGGCTTTAGTAAGAGTGTGCTGTCTAAAATACAGAGTTTGTACTCCTCAATTACATGTTCTCATGTCTCCCTCTTAAGATATTATGTCTTCAAACAAGCTTATGCATGTTTTAAAATATTAGTACCTACTGTCTTAGGCTCCACTGAAAAAGTAACTAGTTGGTTTAGTGAAAGAACACTACTTCTCTCGATAGTCCTAGCTTAAGGCACTCAGGATAATTTCATAACTCTGAAATGTCAAGGCAAATCATCATCTGTGAATTCGCAAAGAGGTTATTTTTAGAATGAAGCAAGTTTTATGGCTGCAAAAATTGTCTGTATTTTTGAAAAATAAAGACTTACTGAAACAAGTGAAAATTAGCTTTTCCTCAAGTATGTAAATATTTAAGTCATTTTAGATGTTAACATTAGCATTCCAGAGGGATATCAGAGAGGTGATTGTGCAACTATCAGTCTTGAGAGATGAGATTCAGACAGCATTTGGGAAGCTGACACAGTAATTATCTCCAGTGGTTTTGGCATGGGAGCTGGTGGAGGTTGGGCTTCTTAACAAGCCCTGCAAGGGTTGTATGTTAACACAGCACATCACACGTGCGCTCAACTACAGCAGTTGTTCCCCCTGCCTGATTTTTTATATTTTAATCAGTGTCTTGCTCATGGTCTTGTCAGGTCTTGCATATGTGCTGAAGTGGAATACTATGATTTGCTGACTGATCAGTGTTTTGTACCAGTGATTTTTTTTTTTTACTTGTAACTTGCATTTGACTTCAGAAATACTGAAATGGACAGTAGGCATTAACCTTAAGTTCACTAATTCATTCTCCTTCATTTCTTTGGCAGATTTGTTGCTATGGGATAGAATCTGAGGCATAAAAAATCATTGCTCAATACAGTGTGAGCTGATAAGATGAATGTTTTATTTGCAAATTACATTAACATGTTAAGAAGTAATTTTAGAATTGGTGCTATATGTGTACTGTGCTGCTTGAGTCATTTTGACAAATGGATACCTCTAGTGTTCTGCTTCCCCATAAACAATGGTTCTGCTTGTACTTACAGAACTATGTTATTGCTTCCTGGGGCTGTATGTTTATATTTAGTTTTGTGATGAAAATCTGCAATTCCTATTACTGGGAAGGGTCCAACTTAACTGTGTTATGCAAAAATTTCCAGCCTTAAACTAGCTTTTTAAGGAGGTTTTCCGAAGGGAAGAACATGGTCTTCACTAAAATCAGGACTGTGCTGCAGCAGATAGAGCACTGGTTTGTCCCCTGTTCACTTTTATGAAAGCCTCCTGTCTAGAGTTATTCTGAAATGCCTGACTAAAATATATGAGGTATCTGGCAGGGAATTAAAAAATCCCACTTCTGTTGACACAGTGGTGATCACTGAAAATCATGATCAAGAAAACCATCGGACTCTTAGAGAGAATGTGATTACGTCTTGCACATCATAAACGTACATACAGTCAGAAGCTATTTTGCATATACTCTTTTCTTAAGATGATCAATACTGGACCAAATTCAAATTCAGAAAAGCACAGCGGAGTTGGTCTTTCTCAAACAGTTGTTTATAAATGGCAAATAGTGGTGCTGGACTGCAAACTAATCCCAGGGCACCTGGTTATAGTCCTGTTTATAAGTCTGCCCATCCCTCGTGCTGCAAGTAGGTATGATGGATCTTTCCTCCTAAAGGAAAAGGAAGGTTATACATCTGCATAGAAAGCCTGGTTTAGAACAGATTTACCATAAGCATAAGCAATTAGCTGTTTCTATACCCACTGCAGTATACTATACTGCGAAGGGATTTTCTTGACAGGTATGCTGGTATGCAGGTATCACTGATGGAGCTTGCCCTCAGGTGCTGTTTGACTTCTTTAGGTGGAATTCTTTTGAGGGAGGGCTGTGGAGAAGTTCACATTAGTATCATATGGTCATATTATTGATTTTCAAGGAAGATGCAAATTAAACTGGTTTTGATGAGGATTGGTTTGGTAGGGTTTGTGTGTGTGTGTGTGTGTTTTAAACAGCCATATAGCACCATATTGCACTTGCTGAAATTGGGCTCTTTGTGTAGATGAAGCACGGACTCAGAGAACGTCTTGGCTTATAGTTTTGGACTTAATTTTTGGTGCCTTCATGATGCTGACTAATTTTATGCTGCCCCTTCCGTTCCCCAATAATCCTATCTGAATTTCCTAAGCAAAGCCCTGTGAGTCAACTTATTCCTTAGATTCTACTTACTTACTCAATATATAGTAATTGCCAACACATTTTTTCTGTTGTAAATGGGCCAGATAAAGCATTGTTCACACATTCAAAAGAGATCTGAATGCAGCAGTATGGTTTCAGCCGAGATTATTTCAAATCACTAGATTTCCAATTTGTTTGAAATAGCTAGAAGACTTGAGGCTGTTTTAAAGTGTCTTAGTGCTTACTGCTTTACATAAAAGAAGTTTTAGAGTTCCAGTTCAGGCATTCAGTAATTCTGTTTATTGGAGCAAAGGCTATGGAAGGTAATACTTAACAACAGACTAAGCTGTTACATGTTGGCTACACTGGAAACTATAAACTCTTTAGCAAAAAGATAAAACTAAAGATAGATAGCAACTAGAAAGTTTAAAATAGATTTTTCTAGAAAACTTTTTAAAAACCATTTTTGTATGAATAACTAGTACTTTATGTACAAGAACTGAAGCACAGTTGTTGATGCACAGTTGCAATATATCAATAGCTTTACTGAACATGAGTTTTTTTCTGTAGAGTTTAATTCTCTAAGAGAATTGTACTTTAATTTTGCAAACAGACTCAAAGCAAGAAGATTGGTCAGCTTTTTCTATTGGCAAGTATTAGGACAGAAGACCTTTCTACCGAGCTGTTTAATTACTTGGAATACTGAAATTCCCGATGAGGCATGAAATCATCAGGTTTGCATTTCTGATATTTGTTTTCTCTGTTGAAGGGAATGAAAACTGCAGGAAACCTGTCAAGTACTGAATATTTAAGGTTGTGAGACATCACCAGAGAAAACTGCACAATGTCAACTGCAGGAGTTGCTGCTCAGGAGATGAGAGTCCCATTAAAAACTGGATTTCTTCACACTAGTCAAGGCATGGGGAGTCTGAAAACCTGCTGGGGTAGCCACAGTGGATTTGAAAAGTGAGTGAGGCTAAAATTTTATCTGTTGCATCTTCAAGTATATGAAAGAAGTGTTATGAATACTTGTATTTGGTAACAGACCTATGGTTTGTTTACAGTGAAGGCTTTTTTTTTTTTTTTTTTAGTTCTTTCTTTAATGTGGAGCCTATAGCAGTGGCATATAATTTAGGTCCATCAACAGAGCAGCATTTGCCATCCATTGGTGAGTATAAAAGACTGACACACGAGTGTTCAGAAGTGCAGTGGATTAGTCTGGAAACCTCTCTGGGCCCGACACAGACCCGTCCCTTGCTACCCCGGGCGCCCCCCGGTGCCAGAATGGAGCATTTCAAGAAAATGCTCCTATTCAAGTCCAACCAAAAAACCCACCTTTAAATAACATGATGAAGTTCAAACGAACAAAACCACTCTGACACACCTTTTCCTTGTACTTATGATGCCTCCGAGTTGCCATTACACTTTTGACAGAAAAACCATTTACTAAAATAGCACTTCTTCTGTTGTAGTCCTATGCTGAGATCTTTGTAATTATAGCTCTCTCTTGCTTATGCTTGGGGGTCTCTTGAACTACCTCATTTAACTGGAGCACTGGCCTGAAACAATAAAGTAATCTGCTGCTATCTTAACTAAACGCATAAATTCATGACCCGAAGAGATCTGTAATACCTACGTTTCACTACTGTAGTTATTAAACAGACACCACTGTTGCATTAGAAGGAATTAAATATGCAGTGGTAAAGTCATGTGCTAGAGTGTTACTTAGAAAAGTGTCCCTAAGAATTTTTCACCTTTTTAGGGCACTCTTCCAGCCAGGCTTCCATGAATGACCACATTGCTGAAAGTTGCATCCAAGTGCCATCTCAGAAATCCAGTCCCCTTCCTGTAAGTCCCAAAAATGAACAGACAATTTCAAGATACGAAGACCATCTCGTTCCTGGCTTCAGTAAACTGTCATTAACCATGAGCTGTGTTTCTGAAGAAACACCTCCTCACATGGCAATAAAAAATGGACCAATTCAATTTCTGTCTGCATCTTCCAGTGATCGTAGCTCCAGGCCACTACCCCCTCTGCCTATTTCTGAAGACCTTGCTTCAGATGAGGTTGACAAAGAAGTGGAATTCCTGACTAGCTCAGATACTGACTTTTTGTTAGAAGATTATGAACTTCCTTTTAAAGCCAGTGCTCCAAGTCGGCGGAGCTTTAGGGGCTGTGGACAAATCAACTATGCATACTTTGATACTCCAACAGGACCAAAACCAGAAGATTCCAACCCTACACAAAGTATAAATGTATACATATCCAGTATTTACCCTCCTCCACAGCAGCTGCATCGACGCTTGCGAAGGTCCCATTCTGGGCCAGCTGGATCTCTTAATAAACCAATAGTGAGACTATCTGGACACTTAAACAGGTCTTCTCCAACCTCTGATGAAGATAAACCAGAGATTCCACCACGAGTTCCCATACCTCCAAGGGCACTCAAACCAGACTACAGAAGGTGGTCAGCAGAAGTTGCTTCTAGTGCATACAGCGATGAAGACAGGCCTCCAAAAGTACCCCCAAGAGAACCTCTGTCACGCAGCAATTCCCGTACCCCAAGCCCCAAAAGCCTCCCATCATACCTCAATGGGGTTATGCCCCCCACCCAGAGTTTTGCACCTGATCCTAAGTATGTCAGCAGCAAAGCTCTACAAAGACAAAATAGTGAAGGATCTTCAAACAGGGTCCCTTGCATTCTTCCAATTATTGAAAATGGTAAGAAGGCCAGTTCAACACATTACTATCTGCTACCTGAGAGGCCTCCATATTTGGACAAGTATGAGAAATTCTTCAGAGAAGCAGAAGAAAGGAGCTCTAACACCGAGGTTCAGTCCTGGTCTGGTGATTGCACAGCCACCTCAGCCCCAATAAAACTGGACTCAAAAGCCAGAATGGACATGGGTGGTCACCTGAAACGAAAACACCTGTCTTACGTGGTTTCCCCGTAGTTTCTGGGAGCACAGTCAGTCCCACCTTAGTTGTTCAGGATGGAGCTGAACTTTATCATGTTATAAAGTTCTTATGGTTCTCAGATAATGAAGTAGGAGCAGTTTGACCTCTGAGAACTGGAAAGTGGATGGTAAAGTCCTCTTATGCTGCATATGTTGGATACGTTTCTTAAGACTCTTTTTGTTTATCTAGGTATGTAAGCTGAAAACCTACAAAGTTCCCATACAAAAAAACATATGGAGGGATAGTAGTCACAGCGGGCCAGTTGTATGCTGCCTAGATGAACGTATTTGGTAGTCACATTATCAAAAAAAAAAAAAAAATAAAATCAAGCTTTGCTGAGAGTCACTTACAAAGCAGACAACAGACCAACTAATGCAGTACAGTTTTTGTATTGAGTATTTTCCAAAATTTCTTTTACATAGTAACTGTACGGAGAACAGACTCTGTTCTCTTTGACCAGGCTATGTCAGCTTGATAAGAAGGTAACTGCAAGATTTGATACCGACTTCAAGACTTGGCAGGCATATTGGAAGCACATTTTGAAAGTTTAATCTATTTTACAAATTAATTTGATGCTAATAGACTTTTAAAGTGAGTTGGTTTTGTGGATTCACTTGCTAGACACACTTGGCTCGGTTTTGCAGTTTCTCCTAGAAGAGTTGGACCAGCTATTACTAAGCCTCTGCTGCTGCTCTTTTCCTGCTGGATCCTAGATACGTGTGAGAGTGTCTTGAGCAGCCCCTTGGTTGCTCTCAGGTAGGCAGTAACAACTTTGTGCTCACCTAGAGTCTGAAATTCTGACTGTATTAAATACAGAAACACAGCACAAGCTGGTCTTGTGTTTTGGTTTCTGTTCAGTATTTTAGGGGAGGAGGAGGGTATGAGGAAAAAACATGATTCCATTTATGGACAGTCTCTTGCTGCTTGGATGCTGCTTCTTGCTGTTTAATTTTTCTTCACTGTGCCTCAGCCATCCACTGAAGTTCACTGAGGTGCCACATTAGCGGTTTCTCATGCTCATTTTGGTTACATTTATCCTCTTACAGAAAAGCACAAGAGAAAGGGTGCTCATTAATGGGGGTACAGAAGATGAATGTGTTCCTCCTAACAGAAGTAAACAAGCTGTTTACAGTTAAAACTGCTGAATGAGATGTTTGAGCTATTTTAAAGCTTACTTTTTATTTGTTTTAGTACAAACTAAATGAAGGTGAAATACATGCTATAGAAATGCACTGATATTTCTGCATCATGTACAGTATTGAATAAAAAATAATTCACTTTGTATTTTGAATATTGTCATGTCTTGAGTTTAATAAAGTTATAAAATACTTATTTATGATACATTTTGGATTTTGCTTTATTGAATAGTGTATGCAATTGTGCATTAGAGTTCTGCATTTACTGCAAAGTCAATAATGTTAAATATACAGCAAATGTTGAATTCACCTTGCATTTAGTTAGGATTAAGATTTCTGCAGAAGTGTTCAGTAACTCACATTGCACACTGTTCATTTTAATGCCTTGTTACTACCTGGTAGCATGTTGTCTATAGTTTTGTGCTGGCAATAAAACATTCTGTGAGATTAAGTTATCTGGCCTAACATGAATGACTTTGTTTTTTTCTAGAGTCACCTATAGCATGTTAGCCACCATCATACAGAAAAGAGAGGCAAGGAGTATTCCTGTCTTCAGTTTCTCACCTGGTAAAAAAATAACTAAATTGTACACTAAGGGTCACTGAAGATGAACTTCTTATAATCTGAGGATGAAAAAACTTTGAGTGTAGATAGCATGGCTAGAAGGGGAAAGAAATTGTGAACACTTACCACAATTTCACTGTAGCATGCAAGCCATGGATAAGGTTACTGAAGCTAAAAAGCATCACACAACTTTGATCTTCAAGCTGTGTGTGTAGGTTAATACTGGCCTTGATCTGGCAGTCGCAACATTTCTGTCAGTGGGCTTATTTCAGTATAAAGCAAGTTACCATCCTTGGAATTATACTGGATGGCAAAAATGTCAAATACAGTTTTTCAGTAATGGTTAATCACTTAGCTTTTATAACTGGGAAAATTGCTAAGCTTCATTTATGAAGGTGCTTAAACACTGCCTTGCTGCAGCACTGCTAAAACATGCAGATTGGCCTTCAAAACATAAACAAACTACCTAATCCTGTGCAAGGCTGTCGATTAGAATACTCAGCCTGCTGAAAGTTCTGCTTTCCATCCAGCCCCCAGATTTTTCCAAGGTGGAAAAAGTAAAATTTGTACTTGTAACCTTCGCCTTAAATATGAGAAGTTTTAACCCTAGGACTGTGAAATAACGTACTTCCTCAGTTACACCATCACTGCTACAGCAAACAGATCAACACTGCTCAACTGCACTTATTTTGTTGTAGACTGGGAGAGTCAGCACAGAGTCAGTAGTTGTCATTCCAGTAGAACTCAGTCTAAACCCAGGCAACTGCTTGTAAATCTCTCCTAGCTTTTGCCCCTGGCTCCCACTCCATTCCTGGAACTTGAACCCACCCATTTTAGCCAAAACACCTGGTATAAAATGGGATATTTGTTAGAATTTCTCCAGCCCTGCATGCTAGCACATATTTTCACTTCCGTTAGTAGTAGAAGTTCCCCAAAAAACTGCTAAGGTAGCGCTAGCAGATTTTTTACTTTATATACTTCTAAGTACAAACTGTTTTCATATTTATAGTGCTGAAAAGCTTAAAACTATTATAAAACTTGTGCTTTTGAAAGGTCTTACATAACCTTTGCTGAAATTCCTAAAATGTTGAAGACTTTTAACCTAACCTCCATTAGTTTTTCTCCTAGAAAAAAGAATTGCATGCTCCTTTCCTGAGAGTTGATATTCTCTACTCAGTCCTGAGTATTAAAAAAAAAAATCTTACTGTAACGATGCTTTCTTACCATGTGCTGTGTGAATTACAGCATGATGTTAAGGCTCATTTCAGAAGTTAAGTGAGAAACTACTTTTAGTGCAACTGAAGTAAAACAGACTGAACCTGAATTGAACATAGTAACTGAACTGCTTGGCTATGGGCAGGACATTCAAACAGATTGCAGAGCTCACACACCTCGTGTAAAAGGAAAGTAACTTATAGGCAAGTCTTATAATATTTAAGTAACTTGGCCATTTAATCTTTAAAAATCCATAATTTTAAGGTCTCATTGAGGACTTGGTCCACAATTCAGTCGTTTTCTCTGCGTGACACTAAGGGGGTCACAGACAAAGGCAGGTAGAAGCCTTGCTCAGCTCTTCTTAAGACACCAGATTCTTGTGCATTAGGGAACAAAGTTTGCATGACCCAAAAATTGTATTTTGTTTTCCAAGTGAGTAATTAAGGCTGTAGAGCTGTAGGGGAAGCTTTGCAAGTTCTGGCCAGAAGACATTTCTCTGCTTGTCCCCTGGCACATGATAAGACTTGTCAGGACACAGCATGCTTTTGCAACAGTCTGATCACGTTGGAATATTTAGAGTTTGGGCTCACCAAACTCTGGTTTGGGCAAGGCCTGACAGCTTTGCCTCTGAGGACAAAGACCCCTGCCAGCTAGATTTGCCTGGAATAATCACACTTCAAAGGTTACAACTTGATAAACTGAAGTTTGGGGAGTCAAGGAATTTGTGTTAAAGCAGGGAAATAAAATGTGCATCCATGGAAAAGCAGTGCTTCTCACAGCCTCCTGATTCAAGAAGCAGGCTATACATACTGCTCACCCTGCCCTCAGGAGCCCTGTTGAGAACCACCCGGCCATGTTCGTGAGGGCTCCTGGGTCCCAGGAGGCAGCAGCTGTGCCGAGGCAAAGGGGGTTGTACTGCATTGAACTCCAGAGGGCTGGATCCAGGGCAGCCCCACAGTGAACCCAGGATCACTGAAAAGACCTCAGTGAGTGCTGCTTGGCTGTTCTGGTGTTGGCAGAACACCCCTCACTTGGTGAGTTTCAGACTAGCAAATCAACCTAGAGAAGCGGAGTCCAGCTGTAACTAAAGGACAGGATGTTTGCCTCAGTATACCTTTTCCTGAAAGGAAGAGTCTGCGTTAGTACCAGGTGACTTGAAAAATCCTTTACCTTAACTTCACCATATTAACTTGCTCTTAAACAGATATAAAGTGACTAAACAGAGCTGTAGCTGATCATCAGCTTCTTTTGCATTGTAAGAGAGAAACCAGAAATTAAACCGTATTTGGAAGCACGCAGATTGAAAACATAATTAAATCTGCAGTGATTTAAAATTACTGATTGTTGCTGCTGTCACCAAGAGTTTTCCATTCAATCCCAGTCTGCAATAGGTACAATTACTACCATTATGAAACTGTAGAAGAGCACCCACCAAGACTGTATTTGCTCTGCTGCAGCCTTAGTTTGGTTTTTAAACAGTCTGAGTGAAGTGTTAAGTTTGACATGATAAAGGAAAGCATCCTTCTAGTGCAGGACAAAGACACCGATTTTGTAAGGGCAGTTATTATAGTAGGTAGTAGTTGCTGATGGTATTCAGCCCAAGTCTTGTCAGGAATTCAAGGTTAAGGTGATGGCCAGATCAGTCACAGTGGAGTTCCCACCCTTCAAACTCATGATTACAGACTGTGGCTCTTATAAACACTTCTAATATAATTGCAAGTGTATGCTAAATACATACTCTCTAGATTATGTCAAGAAGGAAATTGGAGATGGAGGTAAACCCTCATTTTATCGGTTCTGTGTAGTTAAGTAACCTATTCATTTTCTTTGTGTGTACTGAGTGTTCCTGGGGTAAACTTTTGTTTTTAGAGTAGTTTAATCTTTTAATTTCCTGATAGCTTTCTTCCAAAGTAGTTTATTTTCATTTAAAACCAAAAAAATAGAGCATATTTTGCATTTCACATAGCTCTGGTGCTGAAAATCTAGCACACAAAGTTTAATTATTAATATTTGTTAAATAGCACTGCAGAGATTTCTGGCTGCTGAGCTTGTGATTAGCATTTGTAAACTGAAAGAGGTGTTATCCCCACCCATCCTGCATCATATTTCAGGCTTTGCATAATCCCTGCCCAAATGCCTATTTTCATCCACAGAGCTCATTATTTCTTCTGAATCATAAATGGAAGCCACACCTGTGATTGCTCATAGACTGTTACTATATTATTTATATATTGGGGTGCACCCTCATCCCAGCTGTGGTTAATTCTGGAAGAGGTGTTAGGTTAAGTGTCATGCCACTGAAACATGGGAAACAGGACTACTATTCATTTCCTTGCAAAGTGATTCAGAGATGCTTCTATGTTGAAAAGCTGCAGCTTCTTGCTGAAGATTAAAACTATCATCCACAAATTATTAGCATGTGAAAGCCACAAAGGAAGAAAAGCGCAAATATACTGCCATGAAAAACCATGGCAGATTACCCCACCGTCACCACCCTGAATCTGCTTGAGGATGCTAGTAACTAATCACATTGAGCTATCATCATAATAACACACGAAGAGGCCCTCCATGTGCAAACTCTCTGGATCAAGCACAGAATCAGGCCTGACCCAGAAGAATGCTCTCCTGCTCACCACCTACCCAGGTGACAGATACATGTTCCCCTTATCTATAATATTTATTTTACTTTTGTTAATATGTTTATTGTTCACAAGGGCAGTGTCAGCACTACTGCGTGCCCCTTTGGAAGGCAACCGGAACACACAACCACACTATACAGTGATCAGTCTTTAGGCGTAAGACTCTTGGGGCACTTACCAGCTTCCAGGAAGTTCACACTAAGGACCATATCAGCTTGTGCCATGTTGAGTCCAACTGCTGCACGGCAAGGTGCAAGGGAGACACAAGCGAACAGCAAGTGGGCCTTTGCAAGTTTACTCAGTGCCTTGCAATGCCTGTATTGTCATTTACTAGCTGTTAGGCAAGATCCAGAGGAAACATGAGACTCCAGCCATACTAGGTTGCACTTGGTGACTTCATTTGTCACATGCCCTGTTGACTAGTTATTCAAGAAAAGTTTTCCTGCATCCAAGTGGCACACCCCAGCACTTGAGAGTTTAAGAAATTTGAATTGGGACTGTGCTGTTGTGATGCAGGATGTACATAGCACCAGCACAGCAGTAGGCATGTGGTGATGCAGAGGCCTCCAACAACCCAGGACAGAGATTACAGCACACAGCCTGACACATTTTGGTGGTCATGGGATTCAAATACCCTTAAACTGCTTTTGCTAGTGGGAAGTAGGGTTGTCCTTCCAGAGTATCTTCTCAACATGCTGAAAAAACCCAACAAACTGAAGTTGTTGCTTTGTTAAAAGCCACTAGGACAGACAGCCCCATCTGTTCTCCTTGCTACAGGCAATCAGTACAGAACTGGCAGTGGCTGGGGAACATCACCCTTGGTGCCAGGCAGTAACTCTTCCTTTTTTTTTTTTAAATTATGTTAAAGTTGTTAGTGCTCTGTAGTTCTCCAAAGAGGAAGGAGGGGAAAAAAAAAGCCTCTTGATTTTGCTGCAAGGGATTTATTTGAAAGTTACTAGCAAAGCCTGTGTCTCTTCGAACTCATACAGGAGCCCTGAGCTGCATCATTCCCAGTTTCCTAGTAAAAGCATTCATTTCCCTTCTGCACAACCAAAAGGAAGGTAAAGTACTCCTTTACAAAACACCAGGGAAAAGCGACTAACACATCAGATGTGCTCACGAGTAAAGTCAGCACAAATTAGTGCATCATCTGTTGCCAGTTCTCTTAGAGACAACAATTCCCCACCTAAGAGCAGGTTTACTGTGAAAAATGCAAGTCTGAACCTGCTTCTGAAGCCTATAGCATATGTCATCACTGCTTCCCTAAATGTGGCCAGAAAAAAGTAATGTTGCCTAGTCCCTTAATAATACTCTACTGGTTCCCAGACTCAGGATACACATGAGCCAGATTCAATTCTGCTGCTTCTCATATGGGCTGTGTGGCTGGGCCTGCTCTGCACGCAGAGTTCTGCTGAGTCCAAGGATGCAGAAAGGTGGATGGTCCAGGAGGCAAGGGTGAGGTCTGCCGTGGGATGCTCCCCCTTCCCCCGTAGGACACGTGGTGACTGAAGGAGCTAGGCCAGTGTCTGAGGCAGAACCTCTACAGTGATTCACAAAACCTACTCCTAGCCCCTTCCCTTCTCTGGATGCTTTTCAAGAGATGGCAGGGAAGAGGCTGAAGGCCAGATAAATTGTTTCAGCAAGGACAGACTGTCCCTTTTTGCTGTTCTTCCCAGAAACCTTTTGATTTCCTGCCATGTGACAATGCTGCAAGAACTACAGAATCTCCATGAAAGTTCAGAGGTAGGAAATGTCAGAGCAAACTGTCCAGCAGACAAACCAGGGCAGCAGGTGGCCAACATCTGTGCTGAGGCCTGCTCAGCTCTCATTTTACCTGTTTGGCTTTCTTTCCCTACTGCATTTCATATCATGTGCAAGACCACATTATGAACATGCTAAAAGATTATTTACAATTTTTGGCAACAATTTATTAACTCAGTGTTTTATTGCTTATTTTTCAACCTTCAAACATTGCGTCCCATGTCCTAATAAAATGTAGTCTCTGTGTAATAGCAGTGCATCCTTTTTTCTGGGGTATGTGAACATGAATGACAGTATGGATGCAGTGCTAGTGATTATTTCTGTAGTTGGAACCTTCCTGCTTCTTTGTCACACATACTCGTCTTTCCAACCAAGTCATGGGTTATCCAGGCTGCTCTGACAGTCACTGTGGGTTTCATACCAAATAGTAAGCACATTCAAAATGGCCAGCAAGCTGTCCAAGGCTTGTGATTACTGGAAGAAGCGTATTCCCTTGTGTATTTTTACAGCTCTAAGCACTAGTGTGAAGGCTGTTTTGCATCTGTTATGGTTCTGTTTGTTTCCACCCATTTTAAAAGTAATGCCTTTCTCCCTCTAGAAAAGCATCCTTTCTCTGGAGGAACATATTTCTGAAAGAGGATTTGCTCCTGCTTATGGTACAGTGCTGTATACTTCACTTTCCCATTTTGGAAAGAAACTTGCAAACAAAGGCAGCCAAACTAGACTGTTCACACTCCGCATGTTCTTTGTTTCTTCTGGTTCAGAGCCTCTTCTTCATTTGGAAGCTTGTCAGTCTGAAGGAAAATATCTTTTATCATTGCAAGTATTCACTGTTGGCACTAGCATCTATGCTTGTGTACATTCCTGTTTCTAAGCCATATGATACTTCTCAGTTTCGTAAGAGAACTCACTTTCCATTATGCATTCGAGCCCACAGAACCACCAGAATTGAGAGGAAAAAAAGACCACCCTATTCTTGAGAGATGATACGAGACATCAGCAGATGCTGATTGACTACCTTTTCAGCTGTAAATTGAACTATCCCAGCCTTGAAATAAAAAATATGAATTTATAATCAGATTTCTGACCACTTCTTTAATGTTTTATATGAAAGTATTTCTAGAAGCCTAACAAGCATGGAAATATTCTCCTTCTAATTCCACAAAGCAGTACTGCAGCCCAGGAATGCACAGTTTTTCCTGTATTCTGAATCATGCCCATTTACAAAATAATTATTCCAGTATCTAGGACAAAGAATCTTTCCATCATTTGTTTTACATTTGCACAGCAATACCAGTTAGACATGCAGATTTACCACACAAACATGTCCAATCTTACATAGATTACAATTTTTTGCATATCTTGGGCATATTTAAAAGCTAAAGAAACATATAAAGTATTTCCTAAACAAATTAAGAAGCAGAGCATACAGTTGAAGCAGTTCTTCCAGTAGATACTAATAACATAGAGAATTAGAATTTTTGAATTCTAAATTTGCAAAAGTATCCATGTATTTTATTACTAAAATGCAGTAGTTGAGAATGAACTTGTTTCCCACTAAAATAAGCAATCATAAAGGCTCCTATG